CTCCCACGGGTGGCAACGACAGCGGATAGCCTGCAACTCACCTAGAAGGGTTGGTTGATTGTAAGAGGCGTTGTAAGAGCGATGAGAGGAGATGTTCGAGTGAACTGAACCGTAGATTGGGGGTACAGAGGTCCCCTATATATACTACTGTACATCTGTGGCTACGTAGTACTATACAGTACATTCCCAGGATGCACAGTCGCACAGAGAAGCAGTGCGTACACAGCGAAGCTGTGTGTGTACCACATGAGTAGTACAGCCTCGGTTATTGCAGTAACCGGCTGTGCCGTTCCATATCTTGTGACGGCTGTATTAGGCAAGCTGTGTAAACCAGCGCCTGTTCAACACTATATACAGTGAATGAACAATGGGCGCTAGAGAACAATAGCGTCGCCATGGGTACGGAGTACAAGGGGTGTAGGACAATAGCGGACGTGGGGACAAAGGGAGCTATTGTCTGTGTGTGGACAAAGGGAAACTGTAGCGAGTAGTGAACAATAAGGAAACGTACGAGGCAGTGGTCCGAATCGAAAAGGAAACGTAGCGCCGTGAGGGCGGTTCGTGACACTCCTGGGGGAAGAGATCCGGTCTGCAAGTGGTTGAGACACTCCATGGAGGGGATGGGTAAGAGACTTGATCTAATGTCACAGCCAACAAGCTGTGCCACCAGACAAACAAAGACAAAGCTTACTTGTGAGGGGGTTGGTGCTGGGGAGCGAAGCAACCACAAGTGACACAGCAAGAGATGAGGTAAGCAAGTAGATTCCCTAGACTAGAAGGGGTAGTGAAGAGGTAGGGCTGCTAGCTACCTACAAAGGAGATGGGGGATCGACGAGAAGATCAAGTCTGAGGTTCCCTGCCTTAGACTCCCTACTATATATACTAATACAACGGTGCACAGACCAGGTACCTATTGACCATCGTTTGGTCAGAGTTCTCTGCCTCATGTTCTACCCTCTGACCTGCCTCATGGTGGCCTTACGACTAATACCTGAGTCGTACCGAGTCCGGACCCCTTCCAATGAGTAAGCGCTCCTGCTGTCACATCAGTCACCTGCCAGTGAGTGAGGATGGGCGCTCCTGGCTGTCACGAGGTCTGGGGTTCGATCCTGGCCCCTCCACTTTCCGATACGAGTTGTCCGCGGTCAAGGTGAGCGTCTGTCCCAGTACACATGACCCCCAGGTCACGTGGCACGAGAAAACTGTGACAGCTCTGATACCAGAAACAGGATGTTGGAGCTCGAGACCATCCAAAAAAGGAGCAAAACCGCTGATGTCATATAATTTGTCAGCCTCAATATTCCTTTTCTGGTATTAGCGCCGGCTGGCTGGGGTCCGGAGCTAGGCTTTGGGACCAGGACCGGGAAAGGCATCCATTCCCGGTCCTATCCCCAGAAAACTGGCACCAAGCCCCTTAGTGCCAGGTTTTCGGTGGAACAAGGTCCGTAGCACCACAACCAGGCCATTTTACCTGGAACAAGCTGGTGCCCTAGGTGCCCCACAGCCTCCCCTATGACCTCCAGTTGGTTTGAAGACAATTGCTCTAGCTGCTGGAAAGTTATGGACCTTGTTCCAATTTTGCAGGATTTGAGAATTCCGATACTTGGCTGTTTGAGCTAGAACACGAAGTCATATTCCCACATACGTACTCAAAACGTACAAGAGGAACATGACTAGATATCGTATACAACAGAACCGATGTCCACTTCCAGCTACCACCCTCACACTCGCCCTCGACCTGTTAAAAGGCCGCGCGCGACTCACTTATGCCCCTTGTAGATCTTATCGAGGAACACCTTGAACACTTCCCTCTTCAACTTCACGTCACCCGCGCCGACGTCCGCACCCTCGGTAGGGATAGTCTCGATGAGACCTATGATTCGCTTGTACGCGCCCTCTTCGTACTCGGCGTACCTCTCCCGGATGCCAATCTCTTCACATAGCTCCTTCACACGCGCTTCGGCTGCCTTATCTTTCACGCCATATCGAGTACCTTCCGTTGCGCAGGCATCACAATCGCGAGCGCGGTGTTAACACACCATGAACACTTGTTGTCGATGATGTCCGTGCCGACCTTACCGAGTACCTCCGGAGGCGCAGCGAAGTCGAGGAAGTCGTCCTGGGCTTGGAAGTACTCGCCAAGCGGGACAAGAATCTTCTGCGCGAGCTCGTAGGGGTCGTTCGTCGATGAGTGGGGAATGCCACACATGTACATGGCGAGGGCAGGGAGATAGAAGGAGTAGTAGGCGGTCTTGAAGATGACGATCTTCTGGTGCCTACACGCACAGATGGAGATTAGTACACAAACAAAAGAATGAAGAAGACTACATGCTTTGCAAGCGAGAATTTGCTCAAGTCGATGTTATCCTCGGGGGCAGTGATGAGGTCAATCAGCTGCCCGATGTCGGTCTGGAAAGTTGTGTCGTGAAAAACATCGAGGAGGTAGACGTAGTACGGCTCGGAGCGGAAGTGCTTCTTGAGGAGATAGTAGTTGGAGCCTTCGAGCAGATACGCGTCATTGATAGCAAGCAAGTTCACGGCCTCGACGCGGTACCAGCATGGTTGTCCACGGCGAGTAATCGACTGGTCCGTCATGTCGTCCGAGACGAAGTAGTAGGCCTGAAGCTGTGAGGGAAGCTTGCGGTCAGCATCCATGCGTTGTGCGAACCTGATCATTAGTTGGGAAGGACAAGCCTTATGGACACCAGGAGTGCGGGTAACGGAAGTGCGAACACGAAAGGGAACACAAGAGAAGAAAACCGAGTGGAAGACACTCACGAACTCGACACCCCAGCCGAGAAGGGCAGCCTTGAAGTATTCATCGTCAGTAAGCTTCCGGCCATTGAGGATCTCGACGGAGTCGACAACGGACATCCCACAGTTGAGCTTCCCACCTGTGACGTTGTAGTCGAGATTCTGTGGGTAGCATCCGGCGGACATTCCAAGCCGTGATCAGGACGGGTGCTAAACGGGAAAAGCATATACGAGAACACACGCGCTGGAACCAAGTAATTGCATGCCCTCCTGCTTGAGATAGCCGAGGAGCTCGACGCGGAGGATAGGGAAGACGCTCTCAAACCTTTATCTTCTCTGTGCCTTAGCGTCGGTCATTATGCGTCGGATAGGTGCGTAGCGCGGTGTACAGTAGGGTAAAAGTGGGATTGACAGCGGAGCGAGGGAATGGCGAGCTGTTGCAAGTGCGATGGAGAGGAGGAGCCTGGTGCGAAGTTGCTTATGTGGCTAATCGAGGAATAAGAGGACTACAAGATGGCACGACATCGTCAACGAATCGATGACTGGGTATAAGGGGCTGCCCACCTGGAGTGGGGGGGCGCTTCGAACGCGACCACCGTAAATCCAAAAGTGGGGGGCGCTCGCTATCCAAATTCTCCTTCTATCGCCATCGGACTTGAGCTCCGCTCCGTCACTATCGCTGCGCCTTGATGTTCGCCGCCCGATAAATGGGGGCTGGCTAGTTGCGAATGCGCCGCTCATGCATGCTGCGTTTAAACCGGAGGAAACCCACCGTGGTAGGGGCGGCTCATCAAATGAAGTGCGGCGAGGGCAACGTCAAACTGATTTGCCAGTAGCATGGATGGAGAAATGCCTGTTGAGCAATAATCATAATCGGATGGCCAGGGGGCTAACCATGCAATGGTCCGCGTGCGGGTAATTTGATATGCAGCATTCTGTAAGTGGAGCCGAAGACGGCGCGCCAGTAGCTGAAGGTGCGATCATCAAGACGTGGCCTCCTATAGAAGAGTAAGATGGCGACTGATCAGAGACTGCGGGTTGCGTAGTGGAAACATGCAAGGACCTCTCAAGCTGGCCAGGCGGTCGATGGCGAGACGCTCGCCTAGGACTTCTGCACGAACGGGCTCCGAAAACAACGCGGCTGATCTGCTGAGTTCGTTGTGAGACTGCAACGCCCGAGGAAACCAGGGACGATAACGCCAAGACAGACATGGGAATGCTTCGAGGGAAGTGTGCTTGAATGCCGGTTGACGAGAAGGGTCTGTCGCAAGCGACTGCGGGACAACGTAGATGAGAGACCAAGCATTCCGCAAAGCGGTAGAGGAAAACGAGCGGTCATAGCAAACAGTGTGGGAGGAAAGTGGGCCAACGTCGTCGTTGAGAGTCGAAGGTCGGTCGGCCCTCAAGCGGACTGGTGGGCTTATGTAATTCTGTTAATCGACGAGCCGTCCCGACGCAAGGGGCCGTACCACTACATAGTCGTATAGCGTTGCTATGTAGCTGGTCCCAGCGGTCGTGCAAATGGTAGAGCAGTAGTGTTGGGCGAAGAACTGAGAGCAGACCGACCATGGTTTACTTACCCACCGGTCGCCCAACCTGCACATCTCAACGGCTGTCGCACATTTGCATGTGATTCTCATTCGATACTTGCCTCCGCGTCCTTCCGAGCCACCCACGCTGCACAGTGACCGCTCTTTGAAGGTCGTGAAAGGTATGTGCGATGACCCGTCCTTGCTATCGCTGTTGTGGTGTTGATTTGAGCTTGGTGGCTCTAGTCGACCGCTCGGCCATGCTCTCACTTGCTAAGACGAGCAGTTGGTCTGGACTACTTGGATTGATATCTGGCTCGTCGACGTCTACCAGTTGCTGACTGAGCATGTAGCCTTACTCAGCGAGGCCGAACTCACCTTCTATCGGTTACCGTTCTCGCGGCCATGTCTAGCCGTTTCTATGTCCTTCGCGTCTCTCATCGAGACGCATTTCAGCACGCTGATTCATCCTCATCGGCCCAGGTAGTCCGGCTGAATGAAGCTGAGATACCCATGGATATTAACCATATATATGCGGCCATCGCGGTCACTCTCTCATGCTAAGTCCATCTCTCCTTTATTTTCATCGCTTGTAGCTGTTCCCCATCGCATCCTACCATGGTCGACCCTGCTGTCCTCCACAATGCTCCAGCTCCCGGCGTACCATATTTCGTGCCCTTAGTACACCCGCCAGCTGGTACCGCTGCTGACCCACAGCCGGATGGAAAAGAAATACCAAGTCTATTCAGGCCTCTTACGATTCGTGGCGTAACGTTCCCGAACCGCATTTGGGTGAGTATCTCTCCAGACTTGCGTGTATCCGTCTGTGGTGACCCTTGGTGTAACTGTTGCTGATCAGACCATCCTCCTGTAGCTTTCTCCCTTATGCCAGTACTCGTCTGAGAATGGTCTTATCGGTCCGTGGCAGTTCGCCCATCGTGCGTCATTTCATCTCTTCTGCCGCAATGCATCTTGACGCCCTTGCCCGAAGTTGGCGGAATCTTCACTCGCGGACCCGGCCTCACCGTAGTCGAAGCGACCGCCGTTGCCCCCGAGGGCCGTATCTCCCCTGAAGATGCTGGGATTTGGACGGATGAACAGGCGGTGGCTTGGGCAAAGATTGTCGAGTTCGCGCACTCCCAGAACCAGAAGATCGCGATTCAGCTCGCCCACGCCGGTCGCAAAGCTTCGACGCTCGCGCCGTTCATCCATATGGGCGCGCCTGCATTAGAGCATCAAGGCGGCTGGCCCGATGAGGTAGTCGGTCCGAGCGCGGTCCCGTACGAGGATGGTTGGATCGTACCGAAGGAACTGACGAAAGAGGGGATCAAGAAGATCGTCAAAGCTTTCGTCAACGCTGCGAAGCGGGCGGTGAAGGCTGGATTCGACGTAATCGAAATTCACGGCGCACACGGGTACCTCATCAGCGAGTTCTTGAGCCCCTATTCGAACAAACGCACAGACGAGTATGGTGGCAGTTTCGAGAACCGCATCCGGCTTGCAGTTGAGGTTGTCGACGCTGTCCGTGGCGTCATTCCGCCGACTACGCCTCTCCTCTTCCGGTACGTCGTCTATGGCTTTCCAATTGTCGCCCGCATCTCACAGATATCTGTTTTGAATAGCGTATCCGGAACTGACTGGCTCGAGAATGTGCTCTCGGCAGAGGAGTCATGGAGCACGGAAGACACTGTCAAGCTCGCAGCCGTCCTCGCCGAGCATGGCGTAGACCTCCTCGACGTCTCATCCGGCGGGAACAGCCCTCTGCAGCAGATCAAGGGTGTCCCCGGGTACCAAGTCCCGCTCGCTGAGGCAGTCAAGAAGGCACACGGTGACAAGATTCTCGTGTCAACAGTCGGCGCTATCTACGAGGGTAAGTTCGCCCAGAGTATCCTCGACGAGGTACGTTTGTTTGCCATTCTAAGACGCTACACAGAACAGTCTGACGGTGCATGTAGGGGAGGTCCGACGTTATCTTCGTGGGGCGCATGTTCCAAAAGAACCCTGGACTGGTCTGGTCGTTTGCGGATGATCTCGGGGTTGATATCCGGCAGCCAGGTCAGATCGAGTTGGGGTTCAAAGGGCGTCCCAAGCCCGCGGACAAGCAGTAGCGCACAGTATGATGATGTTGTACATTATAGTCTAGACATAAGTTTCAAGCCTCGTTTCGACCAAGGACGATGATAATGCGACTAAGGCGTCGGTCGTGACTTGGTCTCTCCGCGCCAGCATCAATCTTCAATAGCGCCATTCGGGAGCCACCATGCGCTCGCTCACACGATTGCCGCGTCTACATGTGCCGAAGCCCTAAAGCAGAGGAACGCTTCGATCTCACCCGAACAACATGATGTGCAAAACGAAAAGGCCAGATGCTGATGGGAATGATACGCAAGCACAGAGGCCGGATCCCTCTGCAGTTCTGCAGGAGCTGGTGCGCCAAAAGACAATCAGTACTTATGACGAGCTCGTCGTCTTCCGTATTTGCCAGCTGATCAATCATTCTTGCGGAGTGAACAAAACAGTCGAGCATCGGCGAGCTGCGCCTTTGCATGCAAACCTTCACGAAGCCAAAGGGCGAAATAACCTGAATTCCCTGATACCCAGAGAAAGAGCTCTCACAAAGACATGCCTCAAGCCGAGTTGTGGATGGAGAGGAGCGATAGACACGCCGGAACGTCTGGAACGTCTCAGTGAGAGATAGAACGCCGTTACGGGCAAAGACGTTGAAATGCAGCCGTGCGGAGGACAGTCGCTGTAGTATAGGCCGGGACGTAGGAGACAGTGGAATCGATGACGGATCTGATCAGGAGAGAGTACGACACGGTCAGCCGGATGCGACTCCTAACCACCTCTGAGATCTGACCTCCCACGAAGACCAGCCATCGTGATCTCAGGCGTCCACTATCTCGGAGGCGCTGTCTCCTGAACCAACGATAGACGCATATTTTTGCATATTCTCCTCCGCTGTACTATCCCAGTTCGTTCCCTCTATCACGCAGGCCTTCCGGGACGGTATCATGCGAATATCTTAGCAACGAAGTCATCGTCAACCGGAGCAAGACGTCGCCATCCGGATGACCCAGCACCAGCATCCAGAGACGGAGTCCGTGTCTCGACTGACGACGACAGTGCGTGCAATCGCACGTCATGATCGCTGCCAGGCTGGTTGGACGGTCGCATTTGAGTTTACCAGAGGCGTCTATGACACCGTCCGACGTGATCCAATCTCGTCAAGGAATTTCGTCAGGGATGTGGGGATCGGGTTCGAAGGGCCAGGCCGCGCGGACATGCACTTCGTGAATGATGAAAGTGCTGGAAAATGGCGCACGGCGATGATCAACATCGAGAGCGACGGCTTTGCCGTGGTATCTATGGAAGCCAGGGTTGACGAAGATGAATTCGTGGGAGTCGAACGCACGATGATGAGTTGTACACGTACGGACTGCATTTCTAGGCTCGTGCTGGGCACAACGTTGGCTTGTCCAGGAAGCCATCGGCGGGCTTTGAGCTCTGCCCACTACACAACGACAATTTGTCCCTTTATGTTCGAGGTTGCGACTGTGCCCACAGACGACGCAGCGACAGACTCCAAGAAAGGCGTCACGTTCATTTAATCCGGCATCGAACGCGATGGAAGTGAACACTGTTGAGGAATCGCGTTCGGGACAGCCATAGCCAGGAGGAGCGTCGGCTGGGCAGCAGAAACGCAGTGAGAAGTGGCATGGCAAAAGGCAAGGCTCAAGTAACTGAAGCAAGAGGCGAAGTCACTCGAAGACGTAGCTTATGTAAGCCATTGAGCAAGGTGCGACTTGCCGCTCAGAGTCGGCTTGGGCTGAGGACTGTGTCGATTTGGGACCTGCAGGAGATATAAGTACATCATCTTTGTCTGCTACCACCACCTGCGCTCCCAACCTGTCGGGATGCCCATCGTTCAGTTTGCACCCTTTCAATCTCTCGTGCAGCCCGCTTTCTGGCATGCCCTCACTGATCTGAAGATCGATGTCCTTCGTCTTTCAGAGGATGCCCTTCCGGTGACAGCGACGTATACCACAGGCCGCGCCGTCAAGGACCGCGAGACAGGAAATGACATTGCGCTAGGCTGCAACCTGACCATAAGCGGCGACGCGTTCTCCAACACCCAGTGCGTCGTTCTCGTTCGCTGGTCTGAGTACGGAAGGTCTCATCCGATGCCACAGTGTGCCACAGCATGCGGTCGCTGCTACGGGATCCTTCAAGAATTTCAACACCATCGAAGACTTCAAGAACGCGGACAAGACCGCGCTATTCAACTCTGTTGCCGACGAGATCTGGAAGAGCATTACCGTCGACAAATCCACAGCCCTCCTCAACCGCTTCCTTGTCCTCACCTTCGCTGATCTCAAGAAGTACAAGTACTTCTACTGGTTCGCATTCCCCGCTTTCGCTTCCAAGCCAGCATGGGAGATCGACGGAGAATGGGCCGCAGCAGAAGACATACTTGGCGCGGACTCGGTAAGTTCTCTATTATCGCCGCCGTCCTCGTACCCACTCGCGCATTCGGCACCTTCCCTTCTAAGCTCGCCGCCATCCGACCTCAACTACGTGTATCTCCGCGCCCCTTCTTCCTCGTTCGCGCCTCCGGGGGGCAAGCTACAACAGCACCAGTCGAGGACTACGTGTCCTTCTTCGCCGGCGTCCCCCCAGCTGAGCGCGCCATCGGCTTTATTGATCCATCTGCCGTGCCCAACAACCCCGGCTGGCCGCTCCGTAATCTACTCGCCTACCTCCGTGCGTTGTACCCCGAGGACGCTGCGCAAGGCCTCCGTGTGTTGTGCTGGCGCGATAGTGAAACCCCCCAGACCGGCGCCCCAGGCGGATGGAAAAGTCGATTTGGGGTGGTGAAGCAGGGCGCGGGCGAGTCGATTGCACCGACTGAGAAGCCAAGCGCGGTCGGATGGGAGAAGAACATACAAGGCAAGCTCGGGGCTCGCGTCGCAGATCTTGCTCCCATGATGGACCCGACGAGGTGAGTACTTAGTGCAGTGAAAGTTTCGCACGGCCCGGCGCGCGACGAGACTGATCGTTTCGCCAGGCTCGCGGACCAGGCCGTGGACCTCAACCTCAAGCTGATGCGATGGCGCATCCTCCCCGCACTCGATTTGGAGAAAGTCGCGAAGACTCGTTGTCTCCTGCTTGGCGCTGGCACGCTGGGGTGTTACGTCGCGCGCACGCTCATGGTACGGCTGCGTATCTCGCATCATCAGATTAGCCTCACCTAAAGCATTTGTAGGGATGGGGCGTACGAACCATCACCTTCGTCGACTCGGCGCGCGTTTCGTTTTCGAATCCTGTCCGGCAGCCGCTATTCGACTTTGAGGACTGCCTTAACGGCGGCAAGCCAAAAGCAGCGTGCGCGGCAGAGAAGCTCAAGAAGATCTTTCCAGGAGTTGTGAGTGATTCTCGCCTTGCTGTGTCTGTCATACGCGATCTAACGATGAGTCAGAACTCCAACGGATACAATCTGTCCATTCCCATGCCTGGCCACCCGATCCCGGCCGGCTCTGTAGAGCAGGCGAAGAAAGACGTCGCGACGCTGGAAAAGCTTGTCGACGAACACGACGTCATCTTCCTCCTGATGGACTCGCGCGAGTCTCGCTGGTTGCCGACGGTTCTCGGCGCAACGAAGGGCAAGATCATACTCAACGCTGCGCTCGGCTTTGACACGTTCCTCGTAATGCGACACGGAGCCCGGACGCCGACTGCGAAGGGCGAGCGCCTTGGCTGCTATTATTGCAATGACATCGTCGCGCCCTCTGATGTAAGTCTTCTGAATATCACTCTGGTCGCCGACCGCCTACTGACTCCTCGTGCAAGTCGCTCACGGATAGGACGCTGGACCAGATGTGCACGGTGACGCGCCCTGGCCTGGCCTCGATCGCGGCGTCGACTGCTGTCGAGCTGCTTGTTTCAATGCTCCAGCATCCCGAAGGGTACGTCGTGAGAACACGAAGGATTTGACTGACTGACATTGACTGTCCACAGCATCAACGCGCCCGCGCCGCCCCCGCAAGCAGGTAGCGCAGAGGCCGGCCACGGCCACGAGTCCATCCTCGGGCTAGTACCACATCAACTGCGCGGATTCCTCGCACAATTCCGGAATGTCCCCATTGTCGGTGCGGCGTACAACCGATGTACGGGTTGCAGCGAGAAGGTGCTGGAGACGTACGAGAAGGAGGGCTTCGACATGCTCTTGAAGGCGTTCAACGACACGGAGTATCTGCCGGAGCTTACGGGACTGAAGCAGATGTACGAGGAGACGCAAGCGGCGTTGGAGAACGATGACCTCGTCGACGGGGAGGAAGACGATTTCTAGATGGACATGTACGATGGTCGCGAACAAGAAGCGCGGAATGATGTGTGTTGTATGACTGTAGCCATGGGGCATGTATGTATACCAGGATGTATACCAGGATAATGTAGCGGTTGTATACCCTTCGCGACTTGGTACGTGTCGGATAGGATGATACTTACGTGTCCTCAGGCGGGCATCACTGTGCGCTGTCGCGAGAGGGCGTCTGTGTCCAGCGCGATGTTTGTGTGTGTTTGGGATTGCCACCTCAGCGGGATATGCGCGACGTGTCTGCTGGACAGACTTCACCTCCGTTCGCTGACCCCTGCCGCTCCTTCCTTCCTTCCTCTTCGTCCACCATGAGCGGTTGTACGTTCTCCAGCTTTCTTCATTCTCATCCGCGATACTCATAAAACATTCTCAGTTCGGTTTTTGAATCTCGTCCGGCCTTTTCTGCCCATTCTCCCCGAGGTTTCCTCCCCAGATCGCAAGGTACGTCGTTTTGCCCACTCATACTAATCTCCCTTCCTTACCCTCCTTCGCGCGCGTCCTACAGGTTCCCTTCAACCAAAAGGTGCTATGGACAGCCGTCACCCTCCTCATCTTCCTCGTCTGCTCCCAAGTCCCCCTCTACGGTATCATGTCCTCCGACTCCGCTGACCCCCTCTATTGGATGCGTGTCATCCTCGCGTCCAACCGTGGAACACTCATGGAGCTTGGTATCACCCCTATCGTCACTTCCGGCATGATCATCCAGCTTCTCGCGGGCGCGAACTTGATCGAGGTCGACTTCTCGTTAAAGGAGGATCGCGCGCTCTTCAGCGGGGCTCAGAAACGTGAGTATCTGTTAGTCTGAGCCACGTTAGATGTACGTAGACCTTACTGGTCTTCGCAATGGCCGGGCTGGTATCGATGAGGAAGGAGCGCGTTTACGTCGTCTCGCCCTTGGCAAGAGACCATGTCGCGTGCCGCTTGCGTTCCCCGAGGCGAAAGGTGGCCTGTACGCTCATCCGCGTTCAGAGAGACAGCGGGCGCACCTCTGTGTTCTTGCCGAGTTTTGACCGTGTTACACATGAGTACTGACTTGTTCCTCCAGTCTTCGCCCTCATCCTCGCCCTCGGTCAGGCTACAGTTTACGTTCTCACCGGCATGTACGGTCAACCGCGCGACCTTGGTGCGGGTATCTGCTTGCTCCTCATCATCCAACTCGTCTCTGCATCCCTTATCGTCATCCTCCTCGACGAGCTGCTCCAGAAGGGTTACGGTCTCGGCTCCGGCATCTCCCTCTTCATCGCGACGAACATCTGTGAGTCTATCGTGTGGAAAGCGTTCTCTCCCACTACCGTCAACACCGGCCGTGGCCCCGAGTTCGAGGGTGCCGTCGTCTCCCTGTTCCACCTCCTCTTCACTTGGAATGACAAGGGCCGTGCCCTCCGCGAGGCCTTCTGGCGCGATCGTCTCCCGAACATCATGAACCTCATCGCAACCGTTGTGGTCTTTGCGGTTGTCATTTACCTACAAGGTTTCCGCATCGAGATACCCGTCAAGTCAAACCGCTTCCGTGGCCAGCGCGGCTCTTACCCCGTCAAGCTCTTCTATACCTCCAACATGCCCATCATGTTGGAGTCCGCGCTCACGTCAAACGTCTTCATCATCTCACAGATGCTCGCTAGTCGCTTCCCCAACAACTTCCTCGTCCGCCTCCTTGGCGTTTGGGAGCCCCTCGAGGACTCGCCCCAGCTCGCGGCTGTCTCGGGCATCGCATACTACATGTCGCCTCCCCACACTCTCCGCTCTGCCCTCCTCGACCCTATCCATACTCTTATCTACATCGCATTCACCGTCACAGCGTGCGCGATCTTCTCAAAGACTTGGATTGAGGTTTCGGGCTCTGGCCCGCGCGATATCGCGAAACAGCTCAAGGATCAGCAGATGGTCATGGCTGGTCACCGTGAGGGCTCCATGTACAAGGAGCTCAAGCGCGTCGTCCCAACTGCGGCTGCGCTTGGTGGTGCCATCCTCGGCCTCCTATCTGTAGTGGCGGACTTGATGGGCGCGATCGGCAGCGGGACCGGTATCCTCATGGCGGTCACGATCATCTACGGCTGTAAGTCACCGTATCTTCCATGACCCATGGGACGTCTATTAACGTTTCGTGATTATGTAGACTGGGAGATTGGCATGCGGGAGTCGGGCGGTCCTGAGATGGCAGCGCTCGGCGAGCTGTTCTAGACGAACATCAACCCGCGCGGGACCCAATACGACCCACCAGCACTAATACTAATAGTAGTATCAGTACTAGAGCATGGTCTTCAGGACGCAGGCTGTACATCATCATTCCTCAGACTGGACAGGCAGGGCAGGTGGCTTCATGGGTTACGACGACGTCAAAGTTATGTTACCGGTAGCACCGACGTTCCACAATAATTTAATCTGGCGGTCAATCGATGGGCGAATATGGGAGGGCCCTACTTACTGGTCGCGGTGGTCCACGAATGGATGCTTATCATACAAGGGTATCTATCCTGCGGCCTCGTGCGCGCCTGAGCGCATGCGCCTCATTCCGGTCGTCTTCGTGATGTCTCAACTTCACGGCCTCCATCCTCCGACGTGAACGAATCCGCTTGACTCGCAGTGGTCCGTAATGCCCGTAGTGCGATAACGGTGCGCAGTAGGCGGCAGTGTCGAGGTGGTACCAGTCGGCCGTCCGCGTCGAGGCTGGTTGCTTCTTCACTCCATCTTCTTCCGTTCGTACGCCTCGCTCACCCTTTGTCTGAGAGGTGACGGACTCGGCAGCAGGAGACTCTCCCCACAGGTGTCATGGAAATCTGCAATAAGTCCCATTGGACCGACCTGTCGAACTCATGCGTCCGCGATTCTCTCGCGGCTGTCGCTCCCGCTCTTCTCGTGGCCGGTGTGCTCATCGCATCTATTCCTCAACTGCGGAGGACGCTCTCCAAACTGGGGAGACCTTTTGCAGACTTCCTTTCTTACTCTGAAGCTGAAGCCCTCCTCTCCGAGCCCCATCACAGCACGCACGAGGAAGATCAGCGAGCGTCCCCTTGGTCGCCCATTTTCCTATGCGCCGTCTCGCTCGCCATATCCCTCGTCTGGCTTACTCTGGGATGCTATCGTCTCGTTATGGACTCCGGTTTATGGAGCGGGACTCGCGACATACTCGTCTCTAGTACCTGGCTTTATGCTGCTCTCCGCCCCCTCATATGGCCATTTTTCTCTGTCCCTTTCGACCTCTTCTCGCTGTTCACCCTACACATGCTCTTTAGCATCATCGTCGGCTTCGGATACGTGTACGATGATTATGTCTATGCAACTCCATTTCCATCCACTCTCGAGACCGCGCTGTTCATGGGCAATGCCGTCGCTGTCGCCGTGCTTCTCGCCGTGGTATTGAACATGCGGCTCACGACCAGCTCCGAGATCAAGGACTATGTGGGTGATATTCCGCAAGAGTCTTGCGGACTACTAACGTATGCTTGTGTGCGCAGGGCGTAGATGGCACTCCAGAGGACCACACCAATCTCTGGGGATGGATGTCCTTCGACTGGGTCACACCGCTGCTCCGGAAGGCGGTCGCCAACACCACGCTCACCCAGAGCGACGTATACTCTATCAGCCCCATCATGCAAGCGCGTCCGCTCTTCATCAAGTTCTCCCGCCTTCGAGGCGGCCTACTTGGTCGCGTCTGGCGAGCAAACTCGCGCGATATGATCCTGGACGTTGGCTTGACGTACGTTAGCATTGTGCTAAGTTATGCCGGCCCGTTCTTTCTGAAGCACATCCTCGACGCGCTGGATGATACCCGAGGAGATCAGGGGCCCGAGGCGCGCGCCATTGCGTATGTGTATGCGATCGCGGCGTTCTCATGTACCCTCCTTGGGGCGCAAATTGACTTACAACATCTGTACTTCGGGAGAAGAGCGGCGATCAGGGTACGAACGGAACTCATGGTTGCGATCTACGACAAAGCACTGAAAAGGAAGACCTTGTCGGGAGCCGCGAGCAATGGGCACGGCCAGAACAACAACCTCCCTGCCAAGTCGGAGGCGTCTCCCAGCAGCGCAAACAGCGGAAAGGTCCTGAATCTCATGTCAGCTGACGTCAGCTCTGTCTCCAACACGGTGTCGACGGCACACATTATTTACGGAGGTAAGCCATCACTTGGTAGTATGCCATCGTTCTCCTGAACTCCGTCACAGCGCCGTTCCAGATCGTAATCGCTACGTTGTTCCTCTACGAGTAAGACAATCTAACCTCTCGGTGCTCTACCACTCACGCAGTTTCAAGAATTCTCGGCTGGGCCGCCTTCGCTGGTTTCATTGTTGTCCTCTTGACCTTGCCTTTAAACAATATGATGGCGAAGAGGACTAGTGCGATAGCTAAACGAACCTCCGCGGCGCGCGACAGTCGAATGGGCGTGCTGAACGAGCTCATCACAGCGATCAAGTTCATCAAATTCTTCGCCTGGGAAGACAAGTGGGTGGAACGTGTCCTCAGTGCTCGCACCGTCGAGCTGCATTGGATAACCAAAGGTACAGTAGACTTGCATCCTAACACTTGATGCGCTGACGCCGTCTTCCAGAACGCGTCAATTCAATCTTGTTTTCTCTGCTTGGATATATCTCGCCAGTACTAGTCTCGGCCGCGTCATTCTACGTGTACATTGCGCAAGGAAATGAACTGAGCATCGGCACTGCGTTCACGGTCCGTACTCCCCATGTCATCTATCGCGTCAGGATACTTAGCACACGCACACATCTTTAGGCCCTTGCACTATACTCCAAAGTGCGCCAGCCCTTCAACACTGTCAACACCTTCTTCTCCCAGCTCCTTCGGGTACGCTTGTCCTGCTCGGAGTTCTCAAATGCCGTTATCACTCAACGACTGTTCATCAGTCCAAAGTGGCGCTCGATCGGATAGCAACCTATCTCGACGAGGATGAAATAGACGGACAGGTCTCGAATTTGCAGAGGAATCCCGTCGACGAGGAGGACCCGGGTCTAGCGATTGTCGATGGCTCATTTCGGTGGAATTCCATTGGAACCGACACTAGCAATGCGGGAGAGTCGGTCGCAGCGCCGATATTCAACACCTCCGCATCTTCGGCACACCATGACTTTGAGTTGAAGGACATCAACATCGTTTTTCCGGAAGGCAGGCTCACTCTCGTAACCGGACCCACTGCAGGCGGGAAGACGGCACTTCTGATGGCGTTGCTCGGTGAAATGACGACTCTGCACGGTCGAGTGTTTACATCGAAGAACTCGTCCAAGATCGACGATCGTGGGCTTATCCGCTCAATCTCTTACGCGGCGCAAACACCATGGCTTCGCCACCAGAGTATCAGGGAGAATGTTCTGTTTGGATTTCCATACAACGATGATCGTTACAGAGCCGTGATCGAATGCTGTGCATTGATTCCAGACCTGGAGATGCTCGAGGACGGAGATGCGACGGAGATTGGTACACGGTGAGCCCGACTCAATTCTTCCAGCGCTCAGAGTCTCATGAGTCCCACAGTGGCGTCACCTTGTCTGGTGGCCAAAAAGCTCGGTGAGTAGTCACAATCCGCCCGGCCATACGTCGTCCCCTCATCAAATATCAGTGTGGCACTTGCTCGGGCGGTCTACGCTCCAACGAAGTATGTGCTTCTAGACGATCCGCTGAGTGCGGTGGATAGCCACACGGCGCGGTTCCTAGTCGAAAGACTTCTGCGTGGACCGCTGCTAGCCGGTCGCACTGTGGTGAGGATGCGGCCAATTCATTCTCCTTCACCTTTTGAGTATGGTCGTACTGAAGGGCGACAACACGGGTAGATCCTTGTTACTCACCACGTCGACCTTGTGCTGCCAAGCGCACATTATCTTTTGCGCATGGTAAACGGCCGCATCGAGACACAAGGCACTGTGGAAGACTTGCGCGTACGTGGCATTCTAGGTACCGTCGCGGCACTCGAGGAGCGCGAACTCGCGGCGGGATCCAGGGAACGTTTAGTAGCTTCTGAAGTTGGAACTGTCCCTGGTGGGAAGCCGATCGAGGTTGAAAAAACTGCCTTGAAGAAACCAAGAGTGCTAGTCGAAGAGGAGCGTCGCGCCGTGGGTCGCATCAAGTGGCCGACATACAAAGCTTATCTTGAGGCCTCGTGCGATGCATCCATTATCTGTAGACCGGACGTGTCGCTCACCACATGCTAGATCCTATTGGACATGGGTCATCTTGGGTATACTTGTGTTCGTTTCGCAATTTGTCGGCGTAGGAGAGAAGGTCTGGATAAAGGTGCGTTTGGGCGCAATGTCTACTATTGTGTCTCTGAATCGCCTTTCGAAGATCTGGGGTGAAGCATACCGGATGGGAGGTTCCCTACCAGCTATGCAGCTCTCCGCTATGTACTGGGGAAGCACCAAAGGCCAGAAAGCCTTGCCCGCCAGCGCGCGGTCTGTCGCACAAGTGCTACTTACCCCTACCGGCGACCAATCCACCCGCTGGGCCAATATGACCTTTCCTCCCGCTGAAGAGCACCCATACTTCTACATCGGGATCTATACAGCCATCGCATTGTCTGCGGGGCTGATCAGCGTTTGCGCAGCTATAGCGCAGTACGCCGGCGGACTCCGAGCTTCAAGATTGATGTTCGAGCAACTGCTGAATAACGTTGTGCGTGCCACTATGCGATGGTACGACACTACACCTCAAGGTCGTCTACTGAATCGGTTCAGCAAGGTGGGGTCCTTCGGACGGTCGAAGTGTCGGACTGGAATGCTCACTGTATGTCCATAGGACATTGAGACCATCGACACCTCGCTTGGTCAGACACTGCGGTCGATCTCCGAATCTCTGGCCTCCCTGGTAGTATCGCTAGTGATCATTACGTGAGTAATGAACCAGCCTCAGCTCTTGCTCGTACTGACGTCCCTGTAGCGTCATATTTCCCTTGTTCGTCGTACCAGCGACTATCCTCACATACTTCTACATCCTCATTGCGTCGTTGTACCAACCGGCGGGACGCGACATCCGACGAATGGAATCGACGTCAAAGAGCCCAATCTTCTCTGGCCTGAGCGAGGTTCTGGACGGAATTGTCACCATTCGCGCCTTCAGCGTAGAGGCGCGTTTCCTGGACGACTTCTTCAAGAAAGTCGACGCCGCAACGCAGATGTTCCATATGTTCTGGCAGGTCAACCGATGGCTACAGTTGCAGCTGCAGGTGGTCAATGCGATTATGGTCCTAACAACGACGCTCTTCGCGCTGTCGGGCTATGTGAGCGCGGGTCTCGCTGGTATCTGCATCACTTCGGCGATATCTTTCACGGGGGATGTATATTGGGTCTGTCGCAACTGGGCTAACCTGGAGCTCGAGTTCAAGTGAGTTGCTATTTCTCTCCGAGCGCGGTCTATCTGACGAATGGTCGTGAAAGCTCTGTCGAACGCATTGTGGAGTACCTCGATCTCCCGAAGGAGCCCCCAACGCACATCTCGAAGAGCAGACCCCCCGCATACTGGCCGTCATCGACCAGCACGAACGGGGATTCCCTTCTCGTTGTCAGGGACCTCGTCGTCAAGTACGCTCCTGAACTCCCTCCGGTGCTCCATGGGGTCTCGTTCTCCCTCAGAGCAAGAGAGCGCGTAGGGTTGATTGGGCGTACGGGGAGCGGGAAGTCGACGTTGGCGATGAGCCTTCTGCGATTCGTGAGTCTGCGGGCGACTTGGCACTGTGTATTCTTACTCACGAAAAACTTGTCCAGGTCGAGCCTGCGAGCGGGAGCATCATCATTGACGGTATAGACATCAGCAGTGTCGGTCTGCATGACCTTCGTTCTCGGATTGTAAGTGACATTCCCTGTTCGCACAATCGTTGCGCTGAGAAGTCCGCAGACGTTCATACCGCAGGATGCCACATTGTTCTCGGGGACTCTGCGCGAGAACCTGGACCCGTTCAGTGAGTAGCAGGAGGCGTACGGCGGGAGCTCGAGCTAACGTCAGTTGGCAGACGAGCATACTGATGCCGAATGTCTCGATGTCTTATACCGCGTCCACTTGCTGTCGGACGCGCGTGCTACTCCAAATTCTCGGGACTCACATCCGGAAATCACAGGTGGAGATGCCACCAGAGGAGATGCAGAAGGAAAACTCGAAGAAACGACGCGCACGATTACCCTGGACGCGGAGGTCTCGGCCGGAGGAACAAACTTCTCTCAAGGGCAGCGGCAGCTTATCGCGATGGCGCGGGCACTTCTCCGCCATAGCGCGTTGGTGATACTCGATGAGGCTACAAGCAGCATAGATATGGAGACGGACGCGAAGATACAGGCAACGATCCGGGAGGAGTTCAAGGAGTCGATGTTGCTCACCGTGGCGCATCGTCTGCGGACGATCGTCGACTATGACCGGCTCCTGGTGCTGGACAAGGGCAAAGTCGTTGAGTTCGACACGCCGCTCAACCTTATTCATAGGGAAGGAGGGATTTTCAGGAGCTTGTGTGCGGAGAGCGGGACGTTGGAGGAGCTCGAGGAGGTGGCGAGGGCGAAAACGGACAGGGACTCTCTTGTTGGTAGATCCTAGAGCGACATGACCGATGTCATGCCATCCTCTATGTGCTCAAGTACGGTGTTGTGATGCATCGCCGCGTGGAGGTAGTTTCGGGCGAGTGGATAGACATGGTCGTACGCGAGACAGGTGGAGGGCGCCAATCTAATCAAAGGACCTGGTTGTGAGCAGTCAAGACTCAAGTACATACTCAAGCCTTGGATGGCTGTCGTCTGCACCACCGCTCGTCATACAACATTAATACTCGGTTTGTGTATTCGATGGCCAAACGCGCCAGCGACGTCCTCGACCGGAAGCGCAGCGGAGTGGACAGTGATGACATCACCCTGTACCTGCCCCTCTCACTCCATCCTGCGTCACTGTCCATCCCCTCCGGCGTATAAAGCCTTGCAGTCCGTTCCCCGACCTATCCAACTTTGTCTTCGTCCTCACACAATCTCGTCATGGACAAATCTGCTTCAATTGCCGCTGCTTTCGGTGCCGGCAAGCTCCCCTCACAGCAACAGCTCTCGAAAGCCATCGACAATGCCTTCAACTCACCCTTCCTCACCAACAAACCCTCTACCGATGTAGGAGAGCTTAGCGAACAGGGACAGCAGCTGCAGGACGGCGTTCGCCAGCTGCTTCTCGCCTACAAGAAGCTTGGTGACAACAAGAACTGTACGTATCCTCGTTACTTACTCTCTGAACGGTACCCAACGGCACGTCATGGCAGCCGATGATATCTTCCAGGAGTCCATATGGCACCTCTCCGAAGCTGACCTTTCGAACTCCTCCACAAACGCGATGGACGTCGACACCGATCAGGCCAAGTCCGACGCCCGTGCCCTCGCTCATTCCCTCCGCGTCCTCGTTACCGTCGTGTCCGACAACCTCACCAACGAGGGTCGCTCTGTCTTCCATGACTTCGCCTCCTTCATGCGACTCGCTCTCGCCGACGCAGCCGACCAAGTCAGTGGCAGCGCCCACAATGCCGCCGAGGTCCTCCGCGAAGTCGACTCCGACGTCGCAGAGGGCCAACGCAACGAAATTGGTATGAAACGCAAGGCCGAGGACGATCCGGAGAATGCGGACGCGCGTGTCAAGTTCGAAAAGGGCATGGACTCGGTCAAGGACGTTGGCTCCAAGGCCATCGGTGCAGGTCAAGTTGCAGCGCAGACCACCCAGGATCTTGCCAACCGCGCATCTTCGCGCCTACAGGATGCGTTCTATAAGGTCCGCATTTCCAACGCTTCGCACTCCAGCTCTCACTAACTTTGCCCAGGTCTGCGACCGCGCTCAGAGTGACGAAGACTATCACAAGGCTATCTCCACCATTTTCGAGCTTGCCGACAAGGGGGTCCACCGTTCCCTCGACACCGTAGGCGACGTCAACAAGTCGACCGACCTCGATGACTTCATCGACGACCCCACTCCTGAGAAACACCTCATCACCGCCATCCGCGGCATCCGCCAAGTTATCGAGCGCCTCGCCAACAACAAGTCCCTTGACGACTTCTTCGGCGCCCTCCGCGTATGTGGCGTCGACATTCAGCAGGATCCAGCCATCCGCGACTGGTTCGACAAGTTCATCGCGTACCTCCGCAAGAACCTCGATGAGCGCGGGTACGCTCGCAGCGAAGAGTCTCAGAAGAAGCGTGAGGAGCTGCGCCACGAGTGGAAGGAGCTCTCCAGCAAGGATTCAGACAAGGGTCTCAAATGGAAGGAGGACTTCGCCGCGCTCCGTCGCGAGGCCACGGAGTTCCAGCGCGCCATTGACCGTGATGAGGACCTTCGCGACGTCCATCGGGCTCGTGCGCGCCTTGGAGAAGATATCGAGAACACACTCCTTGCCGCTGGTACCGCTGGCGCGCAGACCTTCATGGAGCGCGCGCCGTGGTTCTGGCAGGATGTGTTCAACGTGTACCTTCCGAGGCTCGTGGAGTCAGTCAAGGACATTCCTATACCCAGGTGTGTCTTTTATTTTTCCATTCTGTGCGTCGCGGCGTGTGTACCGACATCGTGCCTTTAGAACCGAATACAAGGACGACGAAGTCGAGTTTGTTCTCGAAGATCTCGACATCTCAAGGTTCTCCTTCCTCCCAGGCCACGCATACATTCGCAACATCACCGACATCGATATCAAGGCTCCTTCGGCCGGCCAAACCGAGACCGCTGTCGGCACGCTCACTCGCATCTATCTTCAGGGCCTCCAGATCCAACTCAAAGAGGTGTCGTTCTACTACTACGACAAGACGACAACGATGGGCCCCGCCGAGTTCAACGGATTACTCGAGTTCACGCTTCCGCCTCAGGGCGTCGACGTTGATGTTGTCGTTCGCTCCATCCCCAACTCGCCCGAGGGAAAGCTTGAGCGTGAGAAGCGCGAATCCTTCCTCGACATCCAGCGCGTCGACGTCAAGGTCTCCGAGGACGTCAACCTCACCGTCAAGCAGTCGAACCACCAGATCCTCGTCTCCGTCTTCCGGCCCATCATGCTCTCTCGCCTTCGCGAGACGCTCCAAACCATCCTCCAGCAACAGATCCACGGCGCGCTGCAGTCGCTCGACAAGATGGCGTGGGACGTTGGCCGCCGCGCTGAGGTTTTCGAGGATACTGGTCTCCCGCGCGGCGCGAGCCTCCTCGCTGGTTTCTGGTCAGAGCTCGGGCACTTCCAACGCTCGTCAGACCGCAGCCTGTTGAGCGGCTGGAAGGCGACGGGCACGGGCGTCATCAAGGACGACAACAACACGCAGTTCGCTATGGGTGCCGAGCCGCAAGTCTTATCCGGGGACAAACACGGCCCTAAGGGGACATTCTCAGATAGCGTCGGGGAGCGCATCGACCGCAACGTCGATGTTGACGCCACGGTGAAGGACGCAAAGGGTGTTGCGGAGCAGGCGACGGAGGTTGTCAAGGGGAAGTATCGGCAGGTGAAGAGCTGGAAGGACACCGTTCAGCAGAAGACGGAGGAGGAGAGGCAAAGGTCTGGATGGAACAGCCCGGCGTTCGACGCGCTTTGGGCGTGAATGCGTACCCCGGCGTAGCACACCTTCGATTGTTCTGGAATGCGTATGCGACAGAAACAATGGTTTAATGTAGCATACCATCTTGTAGCAAAGTGTATTGTAGCTCAGCGTGTATCATATTCATGCACATGCACGATGATGGAACTACGACGCGTGTTTGGCCAAGATGTCGTCTCACCACACCTCCGAGTCGTTTGGATCTATTTGAATTTCTGCGCCCTCAGATAACTAGTAACCAGCCACAACGTGATGGTCAGTAACGTATGCTCGAAGGTCCATCCGGGTCACTACTTCTCGTTCTTGCGGCAACATCTAGCGCGATTCTGACCATACTGAGGGTCTTGTCACTGTCAGGAATCTGGAAAAGCGATGTCGTCCGATGGAATATAGTGGCCCGAGGCTTGGGGAATGCACAGCAACCTGCCGTGAAGTTTCATCGAAGGCTACCAGTGACTGAAGATTCTCCCATAATAGGCTGGTTCTTACGAGATCCTCCTCCGATGAGCGGTGTCTGGCGCCACCGCAATTCCATGAGATCATACTTGTAGACGTTGTAATCTCATGACAATTTTGATCACGACGCATACGTTTGTCAAAAAATCCTCCGGTCATGGCTTTGACACTGACCTGGTGGCTACATCGGACTCGCCAGGCTCTCCATTTAACCCGCATGAACGCATGAAGAAGCCGCTGAGATGTAACAGCATGCCAACAATGTCTATGAACTTGGGGAGTGCTGATTGAAGCGGACGGATGAGGTGAACGAGGAAATTGTGGAGAGTTAAAACTCACTGGTCGACGGATCTCACCGGTTGATACAATTGAAACTCCGCAAGCGCTCAAGTGTGAATAGCTCATCGGCAGTGAATTTAAGCCCTCACACTCTCGTTTCACACACTTTCTCTTCAGTCGATAGCAATGAAGCAGAGATGGCTGCTATTCGGTGTAAAAAGGCGCATGTCTCGTGTCTTTAGAAGGTCATGTCCTCTTGAACTATCTACCAGTGTCGTGCACAAACCATTCTGGGGCAGGTCTTCTTGAAATGTTCGAGCCTACTGTATACTTCCAAGAACATTCAGTCGTCCATTCTCAAGTTCAAGTCTGTCGCGTTAGCGGAGGGTATTGCACAGCATGAAATGGGAAACTTTCCAAAAGTCGAGGACTGCACCTATACAACTCATAACGGTGCTCAGGGGGCGGAGTTGAGGAAGCCTCGTAGAGCGCTATGACGAGGCAATACGGATGGGGCATTCCCGACAACAGGTCGATGACGCTTACTTTCGAGAAGGCCACACATATTGCCGTCATTGCCGTGAATCCGTGAGAAATCCCATTTGTCGATGGCAAGCGCAGATTGTTTGCAGTTGAAGGGACGTGAGGAAAGGCAGTACAGAATATCTACGAAGACTTCACACTGCTTTTTGATATGGAGTGTAAATGCAAAATTTACTCATGACTGATCTCATAGATTCTTAGCAGTATAGGAATCACCAACTACCACAAAGACGACTCACTAGAATCATCGGCGGCGTAGTTTCGAGTAGAGGGTTCGAGGCTCTTTCTTTGAATACCTATACTGGGATGGTTCTGAAATCGAGACAAGGTAAACGCCCGCGCGTCATCTGTAGTGTGCTGTGGTATGCATTATTGCATGCAATGTATGCTCTCCATTCACGTGAGAAGGGCCTATGATCCTCATAAATGCTCCGCGGGCCTGTACATAGCAGGTGGAGTCATAGACTAAGTAATAAGACATACTAGGGTCGTATGGCGACTAGGATAGTGCTCTGTGAGCGAAGACCTGACCCTGCGATAGTCTGGTTTCCGCTGATGATGCGATGCTGCTCGTTAGGAGCTGGCGGTTCTACCTGCCTATGAACATAACGAACATTCAGCAACCACTACCCGCCTGGTATGCTAAGTCCTACCTCAAGTCTCACTTCTCAAATGACGTCGGTGGCTGAATCGGTGAGCATCGATGCGACCACTTGTGCGTCCAGATCAGAGTCGTCGTCGTCCGCTGCCCTGACTGTAGCAGGGATTTTTGCGGCTGCATTCTTTCCTCCAGGTCTTGCGGATGTTCGCGGAACCTGAGAGCGCGTCCTGCTGCGTAATTGTCTCTTCGGAGGGTCTGTGTTAGGCGCCGGATCATCTCTTGTGCGTTTCCTACTCGAGGGGGGCGGTCGCTTCTTCGCGGATGTCGAAGAGCCGCCGGATTTCCTGTCCTGAGAGGGCTTCGGTGCGACTGGCGTGCGTTTCGGTGCAGGTGTGTCGGGGCGCGATGATGGTACGTCGGGTGAACTCTCCTGTGGGATGCCGAGCGTACTCTCGTTTTGCCACATGGCGACCTTCCTGCGACTATGCAAATGGAGTTGTAGAGTCAGCATTCGCGATTGTGCGATTGCAAACAAGACAACTTGAACGTACTACCACGGCGGGAGAACTGCGACGTCATGATGAGGGACTTCGCTGACAGGGCGCGCGTCGTTTGTCTGGTCGTTCTGTGCTTCGTACACATCCTTCATTAGGGATTTTGCAGGTGTTGGGGATGTAGTAGCCCAGATACCACCACCGCACCAGAGGGTCCAGATTCAGGAGACGACTGACGAGACTTTGGGCGAAAGGCGCCGATAACAGAGTTGCCATGGGTTTATAACTCCGATAGATCGCTTGATCTCTTTCGGCCTTGAGATGACAAACCCCGCCGACCGTCCAAGTCCAACCTCAACAGCTCCAGCAATACGACTGCCGCTTCCGATCTTGTTTGCGAGCTCTTCGCGGGCGGACTTCATATTGCGTCTGCTTTGGTTGTCATATAACACACATTTAACAACTCCTGCATGCAGTGAGTTGTCGACCGATCCAATACGACTGACCCCAGATTGGCATGGCCCCCAGGCACGTCCTTCGTGAGCGGATGCACGCCACACTTATATACTCTGGCATGGGACGTTCAAAATTCGCTTGAACGAACCGCATACGTTCCCCCCTATGGCTCCGAACCTTTCAGGGAAGACAAGGCATTCCACGCTTCACGTAGGATCATTGACATTACTCACTCGGAGTCGTTGCTATTCTCGCATCTAAATACATGATTCATGAATCCGGGAACGATGAGCTAGCTTGATGATACATTCATCCTAGCTACAGGACAGATAGGCTCGCCTTGACAAAGTTCTCGCAGGCAAATCTCTCATGGAATGCTATAAAGAAATGTTGTATTTCCCGGCACCGGTCAAAGCGCACGCGCCCTCCTGACGTCGGTATTTCCCTTTTTGTACTTATTTGTGGTTCCTGTACCTTTTGATCGTTGCGACACACGTCCGATAGTACCTTACGACATTGCTCATATACGCGAGACCTCCCGTCCATCCACCTCACCGTTCGTACCCCGAATGCTGAGGTGAGCCCATTCTCCGTACTATACCGCACGTCCTATTCACTTACATTACGTAGCAATTACATTCGTTTATATTACAGGTCTGCTACGATATTCTACTTACACCGTTCGTACCCCGAACGCTGAGCAATTACATTCATTTATATTACAGCTCACCGGGCGGCTCGAAACCTTATAGGTTATGAGCCCTGCTGCGATGTCGCTCAACCTGTCCTCCGCCAACACTACGAACCTGTACTCAGTCCCAAAGCTCGCCGCTGATGGATCAAACTGGATCACGTACAAGGAGCGAATACTCACAGTGTTGGGCACTCGAGGGTTGATGCGCCATCTACTCGGTACGGCCCGTCGTCCACCTGCTCCCCCTGTCTGGCCCAGACCTTCCAGGCCAGCTACGGCCCCAGCTTCCTCATCCGCCACTGTCCCAGCCACTGCCGCTCCGGGCACTACAGCCGCCGCCCAGGCTTCGGGAACCAGTTCCGCTGGCACAGGGGATCCATACCCGACCTTGTCCGACGAGGAGTACCTTAAGAAGGTCGAGGAAGCCGAGACGAAAGCCGACGAGTACGATCAACGCGAATTTGCCGCCCGCCAGCAGATCTACAGTACGATCAGTGACACCATGTTGCTGAAGGTCAAGTACCTGCCCGATGCGGCCAGCGTCTGGACCGCGATCGTCAATGAGTACGAAGGTAAATCCGAGATGTACGCAAATATCATCCGTACTCGCCTCCTGAATACCCGATGCCCGGAGGGAGCGAACGTGCGCGATCATCTCGATACGCTGTGGAACCTCCGTGAGCAACTTGCCTCCATGGGCGCCCAGTTTCCGGATCAGGAGTTTTCGGCGGCGATTTTCCAGTCGCTGCCAGAATCCTATGGCTACCTCCTCACGTCACTTTCGACCGCTGCACGTCTTGCTCGAAACCCTCTCACGCCGCTCGACATCATCCAATCGATCGCTGAGGAGTACGACCGGCGCACAGCCCAGTCACCACCCTCCGATACCGCGCTCGCCGCCCGCCAAGGAGCGAAGCCCGGAAAGACCCGAAAGGATGTCGAATGCTTCAACTGTCACCGTAAGGGACATGTCAAAGCAGACTGCTGGCGAAAGGGTGGAGGGAAGGAAGGCCAAGGACCCAAGGACCAGATGCCGAAGGGCGACCGACATGGAGGAGGCGGTGCATCCGCAAACGCCGCCACTGAACCGAGCGAGCATGCCTTCGCGATCACTGTCGACGAGTCAGCCTTAATCTCCGCCACTGCGAGTGGAGAAAGAGTGGACATCTACGACAGCGGTGCGACCCGCCATATATCGCCATATCGAGACGAGTTTGTCTCCTATCACGAGCTTCAGCCCCCACGTCCAATCACAGCTGCAGACGGACGTATCTTTTTGGCCATAGGCGAAGGGCAAGTCCGCAAGAAGCTGCCGAATGGTGACACGAGCACCGTCGTGACGCTCGAGCGAGTCTTGCATGCGCCAGACATCGCGTTTTCGCTCGTATCAATCCCACAGGCCGATAAAGCGGGATACTCCGCTGTTTTCGAGCAAGGTGAATGCCGCCTGTACCAGCGCGACTCCGGAGAGACGATCGCCAGGATCCGCACGACAAACGGACTCTATCAAGTACGCCACCCCGAGCGTGCTGCTGCTGCTGCTGCTGTTGCTGCTGCTGCCGTCGTTGGACGGGGCCCTGTAGCAGAAATGTCAGAACTCGAGTTTCACCGCTGTATGGGGCACATCTCCCCCGTCGCCGGGAGGAAGATGATACAGGAGGGCAGAGTCCTTGGCGTGAGGCTCATAGGAGGCCCCGCTGCGGAGACCTGCGAGGCTTGCGTCCAGGCCAAGATTACGCGCGTGCCCATACCGAAGGAGCGCTCGAGCAAGCTCGCCAAACGCTACGGCGAGTACTTCCACTCCGACACCTGGGCAGCAGGGTGCACGTCCCTTGGGGGGAATAAGTACTGCGTCATGTTTACGGACGACGCGACACGCTGGACTAAGACTGTACCTGAAAAGGAGAAGAGTCAGGCATTTCCGGCGTACAGAGCGCTCGACGCCGAGGTGCAAACTCAGGAAGGCCGGAAGATCAAGGTCTTCCATTCGGACAACGGTGGGGAATTCACCAGCAAGGAGTTCGAGAGCTTCCTTGTGGAGCGCGGCACGCATCACGACGTCACCGTGCACGACACCCCCGAGGAGAATGGCGTCGCGGAGCGGGTGAACCGCACGCTCGCCGAACACGCCCGGGCCATGCTAATCGAGTCCGGGCTGCCCCAGTACCTGTGGCCGTACGCCATGCTCCATGCGACGTGGTTAAAAAACCGCGCGTCGACCCGTGCACTCGGCGGCAAGACGCCGTACGAGGCCCGCTACGGCTCCCCACCCGACCTCCGAGGCATCCGCCCGTTTGGCGCGAAAGTCTTCGTGCGC